CCAGGAGCAGTGGGATGGTGGCTCAGAAGCCCCTACCTCTGGGCTGGGAGCAGCAGGAGGAATGGTGGCTGTGAAGCCCCTTCCTCTGCTCCAGGAGCAGTGGGACGGTGGCTCAGAAGCCCCTACCTCTGGTCTGGGAGCAGCGGGATTCGGTACCATGGTCTGGTCGTCCGGTTTCCTCTGTGTCTTTGTAGTGTGGAACCAGGTGGCTGCCTGTCTGTAGTGGGCTGATTTGGCGTGTTCCACGTGACTCGGGACCTCAGTAGGGCGTGCGCAGACCTGCCTGTCTGCAGCGGGCTGATTCCTGCTATAATTTATTTATCTGTTCACCTACTGAAGGACATCTGAGTTGGCTCCAAGTTTTGGCAATTTTGAATAAAGCTGATATAAACATCTGTGTGTCAGTTTTTGTATAGACATACGTTTTCAATTTATTTGAGTAGATACCAGTAAGCATGATCATTGCCTCATATAGTAAATTTAGTTTCATCACAAACTGCTTAATTGCTTTCTAAAGTAGTTGTACTCTTTTGCATACCCACCAGTCACGAATAAATGCTTCTGTTGCTTTGAATCCTCACCAGTAGTTGGTGCTGTTAGTGTTTATTTTAATCAACCTACTGGGTGGTATTTCATTTGTTTTAATTTTCAGACCTCTATTACATAAATTGGGCACGCTTGTTGTTTGTATATCTTCTTTGGTGAGGTGTCGGTTGAGGTTTTTCACCCATTTTATATAATATGGCACTTAGTAAAGACTCAAAAAATGCTGGTGGTGGTTCTTATGAATTTCTTAAGGATAATGCTTGATATAGAGTAACTACTTCATAAATGTTGACTATTACTCTCCTTATTTTAAATAGAATCAGGCTGATTATTTTAAATCAGGCCAATGATTTTCTCATTGTTGAGTTTGTAAGAGCTTTTTAAAATATATTTTGGATAGCAGGGGGTTTTTTTTATTAGATATATCTTTTACAAGTCTTTTCTCCCACTCTGTGGCTTGTCTTCTCATTCTCTTGACAGTGTCTTTTGCAGAGAACAAATGTTTAATTTTAATGAAGTCCAGTGTATCAATTATTTCTTTCAGGAATGGGTGGTGTATTCAAAAAGTTATCACCATATCTAAGGTCATCTAGATTTCTCCTTTGTTGTTTTCTAAGGGTTTTATAGTTTTCCATTTACATTCACAACAATGATCTGTTTTAAGTTGAGTAATTTTTTTAAAGAAGAAGCATTTTTGTGAGTGATGTAAGCTTTAGGTTGATTGGGCTCTATTTAAACCACAGTGGATTAGGGGCTTGTAACAGTTTCCCTTTTGAAAGCACGCCTCTTTGAGGGCAGAACAGAATGCTGACTTAAAATTAAATAGCTGCTTTCTCCTCTCCCTAAGGTAAGCATGAGAATGTTTTTTTTTTCTCTGAATTTCACCATATCAACCTGGTAGAACTTGCAGAATAAAACTCCCAAAAGTCAGGGTCCCACTATGAATGGACCCCATTCACTCCCAGAGCTTTTTATTTTGTTTTGGTACTGAGGATTGACCTGGGAAATGCTGAGCTACATTCTCAGCCCTTTTAAATTTTTTAAATTTTATTTTAAGACAGGGTCTTGCTAAATTGCCAAAGCTAGGCTTGAATTTGAGATCCTCCTGACTCAATCTCCCATGTACCTAGGATTAGGATTAGAGGAATGCACGACCACACTCAGCTCCCCTCTGTAGATTTTATGGGTCAGACTTACACTAATGCTCTAGAAATTCATTAGTTGGAATTTTGGTTTTCCTAACCTGTCATTGGTCCCCAGGGATGTTTCTATTTGTGAGTGTTTGGTTTGATAAATTGTGATTTTCTGTATTGACCTTTCTGTCTTTCCAATTATGAGAAAGTTGTTTGTCTATGTACTTTACCTGTTTGATAAACTTAAAAGTTGTCAATTTTTAGAGGGTTTTAAAAATTGTTTTTATTTTGAGATAGGGTCTTACTATATATTGGCAAGGCTGGTCTTGAACTTGCAATCCTCATGCCTCAACTTCCTGAGTAGCTGGGATTACTGGCATGTACCACCATGCCCAGGTTAGTTTTTAAAGTTCACTGTTTTTTACTTGTTAGGATGGAGTGATGACTTCCAAACCCTTACATGCCAGACCAGAAAGCAGACATCCCTATTATTTTTTCATACTATCCTCACCACAGTCCTCTGAAGTCAATGTTGTGAGCTCAGATTCAAAAATAAGGAAACAATCTGAGAAAGGTAAGGGGCTTGCTTGTCCAAGGTCATGGGGCTTGGGAATGGCAGAGCTGGAATCAAACTTAGGTCTCACTTCCCTGTGTGGTCATTGTCTCTGTTTATGCAGAATATCACTGGCTTGTGCTTCACTTGAACACATTTGTACCAATGCTTCTGTGCAAACTCAAACTACAGCATAAATGATTTGACCTGGTTTTACAAATTAGTAAGTCACCAGGGGAAATTCAGTTCTCAATTATTCCATACACTATTACCTAATTCTTTTGTAACCCATGACTTTTTCTTCTCCTTAAGGAAAGAAAATGAATATAAAGTGAAATATGCTCATTGTACACTATTACTTACTATCAGCTCTAGTAAAGTAATTTAGGGTAGCATAATTTGAAAGAGAGCATCAAAATGTAGCTGTGAGGATCCTTATAATTTTCATTAGTTTGGGCAGAAATTAAAAATGGACCGAGAGCTCCCTAAGCCTGAGTTTGAGTCCTACCTTTGCTCCTTGGTCTGCAAGCAAATCTGAGCCTCAGTTTCCCCATCTGTTATGGCTTGTATCTAGATGTTCCCCCCAAAGCCTCATGCACTCATAGGTGGGGCTTTTTGAAGGTGGCTGGATCTAGAGTGTGTGATGCTGGGTTTAAGAGAATGTGATTACTAAATTAGTCCACTGATTGGTTTAGCATAGTTCTGGGTGTGGATGATGGGAAGGCCCACCTTTGGGTGTGGATGGCACTGCCAGAAAGGTGGGTAGCAAAAAAGGGATAAAAGGGAGAGGCAGGCTGCTACTGTTTCTCTTGCTGCTTGCTGCTTCCTGCCTGCCACACCATGAACCATTTCTCCTCTGCCATGTCCCTTTGCCATGCTACCCTTTCTTGGAGCCAGCCAGTTATGGACTGAAACCTCTACAAACTGTAAGCTGAAATAAACCTTCCCCCCCCTTTAACTTTGAGTTTCAGATATTTTGTCTCAGCAATGAGAAAAAGTAACTAAAACACCATTAATAAATAATTAACTTCCTATGTTTGCATTGTGGCCAATTAAAAAGCAGCCATTAGCAGTTATTGAACACCTTTCTCCACAAGGGAAGCTAATGGAAAGATATGAGAGAACTGTAAGTGCTTGTCTGCTGGGTATTTGCGAAGAATGGAGACTTGTGTGCTTCTGGAAGTAGTTTGTAATTGTCAGACTTTGTATCAGAGTCAGTTCTGACCTGTAAAACAGCTAAGGTCAGCTTTAGCTGACCCACACCTTCTGCTTTGGCTTCTGAGTTCTGGGGAATGCCTCAATTTCTTAATGTCTTTGGCTACTGTTCAGCTGACCACAGCTTTCTGTTGGTCCAGGAGTTTCTCTACTTCCATTTGGTTGTAAACTCTGGTCTCATTTACCATATTTCTGCAGAGAATACACTTTCCACCTGCAGGCTCATCCAACCTAGCCAAATGCTCCAGCATTTCCTCCTCTTCCATTTTTCCAATCACTTCATTTGAACCTGTTTCACCTTAAATAAAGGCAATGCCAAAATAACTCTCCAGTGTCTCAGTATAACCTGTACAAAATAGAGAATGCTTGAGCACACTTAACAGTGTAACACTTCTTACTCCCATCCCTCTCAGTGTCTCCATTTGGCATTCTAAATCCTGCCCTGATCAGTTTCAACTGAGGACCAGACCATCGACATGAGCTGCCATCTGCACTAATTTTCCTTAACAATGTGACAGAGGAGGTCAGTTTCTGAGACACAAACCAGGAAGGCTCATTGCTTGACAAGTGTTTTATCCATGTGATGCTGATGGAGATGTAGGAAATAATTCAAATGCAGCTGAGGATGTGTTCTTATGTTTGGATTTCCCAGTAGGAAACATCTTTTTAGCCACCTTTTGGGAGGACTTAAATAACCAGTCAACAATGGACCTGGAAAGTGGGAAGTGGGCTGTTAGATCCCACCAGAATCAACCTTGCCAGGGGCAGCCTATCTAGCAACCATGTGGATGTGTATGAGTCCTTATATTGGTCCTATTGCAGCATAGATTTCCTATACATTGAAGGAAGCATCCTTCAAGACCAGTGGTTCTCAGCCGAGGGAATTTTGTCTCCCAGAGGACATTTGGTAACTAATTCTATTATCTAATTTCCTTGAAGAGTTTCAGCCACAGTTCTACTCATCCTTCTTTGGCTCTTAATATCTTAGGGTGGATGTGTGTAGTTCTTAATCACTGCACTTTAGAAAAAGCTACAAATCCTCATAGAACAAGATGAAGAGAGGGTGAGGGTCTCAAAGATGCTCAGTGAAACCTTTTTCTTACTCTGATTCATTTCTTCTTCTAGACAATTGCTGGGGGCTACCATATGCCAAGTACTGTGCACAGCACTGATAATCTAAGGATGAATGACATGATTCCTACATTTGAGAAATTCAAAGTCTGATGAGAAAGCCAGACTGAAAACCAACAACAAGAATATGTGGCCATACTGTCACCAAATCCAGGTCCAGAAGCTCATTCCATGGAAAAACCAATGTCTAAGACAAGAGTGTTGGAGAGAAGGAAAGACTTTATTCAGTGGCCAAAAATGGAAGAAAGGGACTTTGCTCACGAATCTTCTCAACTCCACGGTGTTGAGGGTTATAGATATAGGGTAGGGATTATGGGGGGAAAAAGATAAGCTAATCAAGGAGAGGAATATTCATGCCTTTTTGGAGGGTGGGGTAGGCTGAGATCTTCCAAGAACTCAGGTGCCACCTTTTATTCCTTCTTTCATGGTCTGGTACTCCCAGTCATGATAGCTGGTCCAGGGGTCTTTAGCTTTGAAGGAGGAAGAGAGAGACTGGACAAATCTAAGTAAGGTCAGCCCTGTATTATAGTTTCAGACAAAGCATTTCTCAAATGATCAACATGTCTACATGCAGAGCTGAGTAGAATCTGACAGCAAAGGAGACAGACACAATAGGAAGACTGAGACGCCAAGCCCTAACATCCTTGTGTAGTCACCCATGGGACAGTCATGCTAGCCTAAGTGAAGACTCAGGGTTTTCAGCAAACATTCCTGGGAAGTAACCTGGGCAACCATTACCATCATCACCCACATGACAGAGGTATTAACTACGGCAAAGCTAAGGGGAGACTGATAATGTATTGTCCAGCTATAAGACCTTTCCTATTAGTGATTTTTTTTTACATCAACTAAGAGCAAGAGTGTTTATTTAGGTTTTCCCTCAGTAATAATACTTCAATAGAAACATAAATAAAAGGCCTCGAGAGCGGCTACTGAAGGAGTTTGTAGTAGTTTCCTACTGACACTGCAACAAATTATCACAAATGCAGTAGTTTAAAAAAACACACATTTATTTTCTTACAGTTCCATAAGCCAGAAGTCTGACCATTTCACTGGGTTAAAGTCAAGGCAATGGCAGAGCTGGTTCTCTCTAGAGGCTCTAGCAAGGAAGTTGCTTCCTTTTCTAATCTCTGGAGACCACCTATATTCTTTGGCTTGTGACCCCTTCCCTGTATCTGTTCAGCCTTTTGCATAGTCAACACATGGAACATTTTCATAGTCCAATCTTCCTGTCTCCCTCTTATTTTTATGATTATATAAGGCCAGGCTAACCTAGCATAATCTTCCCATCTCAAGATCCTTAACTCAATCACATGTCTGCAAAGTCCCTTTGTGCAGGATAAAAAAGTAAGGTAAAACTTGCAGGCTCCATGAAATTTTTGCAGGCCATTTTTCAGGCTACCACAGTTATACAATAAGTAAAGGCATTTGGGCTGGGGTCTGGAGGGGTGAGAAGGGATTATTCTGGCAATTTTCTATACTGGAAGGACATGGTGTTCAATGCCCTCACCTGTTCAAGGACCAGTAAGGTGTTCAAAGTAGCTCCATAGTGGATAAAGACAGAAGCCAAAGCTGGTAAGGAAAGTGAGGTCAGACCACAGTGTCTTCAATAGTAGTCCAGGAAGTTTGAATCTGGCTTTATTAACAGAACAGTTACACAACAATAAAGTGCGATGTTGATAAAGCCCAGTGGAGAAATGATGATGGAAGGTTTTATGAAAGCAGAAACACTGGCATTCATCAACCACAAATTGTAGAGCTCATCCTGTTAAGGGATATCAACCATGTTGTGAGTTCCTAATCCCTGGCCCTCTTTTTATGTTCCAGTCCTAGTTTAGGAGCCCTTCTCATCTGTATAGTGAACAAAGGCTCCTAAAGCCTTCAGTTTTGCCACTCTCCAGTGAATCCCTTACACTGCAGTCGGAGTAACTTTCTAAACACAGGCTGTCCACACCATTGCCTGTCTAGTTATGAGTGACTCCTTTAGGATACACACAGGAGCCTCCATGTCCTGGCCCATTCTCCTCTTTGGTCACACTACTGAGCTTCCCTTGGTCACTGTTGCAAAGTAAGTCACATTGTACCTTAGCCAATGGCTATACCAGAAACACACCCTTCTTGGGAGACTTTAAAACTTCTTGGGAGCCTGGGTCACCATTCCCAACACATTCTGCTTATGCGTGCTTCTGGGTCCCTTGGTATCCTTGCTTGACCAGAACCCCCCTATTATACCCTAGTAGAGCAATTTTGAGTCTCAGGGTGAATAGTGGTATCCTGGATATCCCTTAAGCTTTACCTTTCCAACTTCTGCCCCCGCTACCCCTCAAGTCCAGGCCAGTGCCCTATATAAAATCCTCTCCTCATGCATGTGGTGAAATCTGTGAATCTGATGCCATGTCCCTTCCATAACCAGGTTACTAATCCTTTGATTGAGTTAATCAGAAGGGAGCTTTTCCTGGATGGACCTGTCCTCATCAGTGGAGACTTTAAAAGAAGTCAGATAGATAGCTCCTGCTGGCCTAAAGGAGAAAGAAGGGACTCAAGGTGGGAGAGACTGAGCATAGAGGAGGGGCAAGGTGACCAAGAGTAGCAGGTGACTTCTACAAGCACAGAGAAGCCCATGGAAGCCACTCAGCAAGAGAATGGAGAAGGCATCAATCCTACTCACTCACTCATGTCTGGACTTCTAACTCACAAAAACCATGAGATAATCAATGGGTGATGTTTTAAGCTGCTGAATTTTGGGTATTTTGTTCTGTAACAACAGAAAACTATTCTAAGTACGGACTAAAGTTCCTTCCTCCCAAGCTAACCTGAGGATCTTCACAGAAATCTACCCCCACTCCAGAGCTTTGCATACCACAAGGATCTGGGAGAGACATCAAGTCCCAAAATGATTTCCATGTTTTTCTGCTGAATGTCTTTTAGTTTTAGAGTTATATAAGCAAGAGGGATCATTCTAGAAGAGATTTTTCTTTAATAAGTTTCTTTGTCAAAAGAACTTGCTGACTTCACCCACGTGGAGAAGAAATGCTGAGTTGCTGGCTTTTAAACAAACAAACAAACAAACTAAGTTCTGCCTCACACGGCTAGGAGTGAGGTAAGGAGTAGAAGCAAAAATTTGGAGAAGATGGTTGTAAATAGTTTGCAAAATGTGGTCTCTAGACTATAGGTAGCATCAGTATCATCTATGAATCATTGGGTCCCATCCCAGATCTTGTGATGCAGAAACTGTGTCCTAAATAGCCCTCCAGGTGATTTGGTTTTGTAATAACTTTGAAACCACTAACTTAGACAAATAATAGTCAGTGATGTAAATTATGTGTAGCAGCATTTTCTGAGCAAAATCCTCTACAAAAATAGCAAAGCAACAAAGGATACAGAGCACAAACAACAAGTTTGCTCATGCTGTCCACAATCAGCCACCACTAGTCTCCTCTGAGCCCTCAACTTGAAGGTCAGAAACTCTGTGATGTTAGGTGTCAGGGTCATCTTGAGGCTCAACTCCTGCTAAATCCCATCCCGGTGAAAGCTGCCACATCACTGGTACTCAATAAATACTTGGAGTGCATAAAAAAAGTGGGGCCAGAATGACAACTTCCCTGTTTGTGTTTGCTCTTCCAGTATGGAGAGCTTTTCTGGAGGATCAGAAGTACGGTGCACGCTGAACGGTGCTCTGGCTTGTGGACTGAAGCCATGGAGCCGCAGAAAGGACCATCTGAGGTCCCACAGAGCACACTCTACCTCCTGCTTTCCATTCAGCAGCCGCACTTAGTTTTCTGGAATGGACCTAGCACTTCTGTTATTCTCTGTTAGTCTTTGACTTCTCTGTAGGGAATGTAGGACAGAAACCCTGCACCCCTGTGTACCATATTGACATTAAATAGAAAACAGTGGGCATTTTGTGCAGTTTAATGACTCTTTCTAGCCAGTGCAGGCCACCCCAGGGCTGATCATCACTAGCCCACATTCCAAGACTACAAGGTACTTTCTGGGTCTGGTCAACCAGACTTTAATTCCTCCTGCACTATGCATTACTATGTGATTCTTGTTGCCTCCAAAAACTCAGATGATTAAAAAAAGTTTATGTTTGCCACTTCCAAGAACCCCTCTTGCAATTTAAATGATTCATGCACCCAAGTTTCACAAAGAAGAAAATAACCTCATTGTTATTTGCTCTGTTAAAGCCTTCAAGTGTTCAGCTTATTATTTCGTTTATCTGGTAAAAAATGAGTTTATCTCTAATTCTCTAATCTTTTCCATAGAGAATTCTTACTGGATAATAGAAATTTCTTCATTGAACTAGCAAAGAAACAGCTGCTGTTCCCATCCACCACCCGCCCCTCTCTCAGAGGATACTTGTTGTCACATGCTGGTATTCTCATGCCACGGAGTAAATTTCAGGAGAACTGGGCAGAAGAGAGGACCAAGTGGTAAGAATGTTCTTCTCTTATCCCTGCATCAGAACAGTAGCACAGTTGTGCTGGAGACTGCTAGTTCTCTCTCAGCCTGCATTCCCTTTCTTCCTTTCTTTTTACAAATTCCACAAGCTTTACTTGAACTCAGCCATGTGAGCTTGTATTTAGTCACACCACAGTTCCACCATCACAAGGATCCCTGAGCTGTCTCCTTGTGACCACTCATTTCTCCATCATCCTTCATCCTTTCAAACCACTGATTTGTTTCCCATTTTTATAGTCTTGGCATTTTAAGAATGGTACATAAACGGAATCATATAGTATGCAACCTTTTAGGATTGGCTTTTCCATTTTTACTTCAGCACAATCCCCTGGAGATTCTAACAAGTTGCAGGCACCAATAACTTGTTTATTTTTTTAATTGCTGATTAGGGTTCCACAGTATGGGTGTACCAGTTTAACCATTCACTCATTGAAGAACACATAATTGTTTCCAAGGCTGGGTTATGAACATTCATGTGCAGACTTTTGATGAATATGAGTATTCATTTCTCTGGGATAAATGTCCAATAGTTGTATGTATATAGTTGGATGTTTATTTTGTTTTATTTTTTGTGGTGCTAAGGATTGACTCCAAGGCCTCCTCCTACACTCTAGGCAAATCCTCTACTGCTATGCTATATCCCCAGCCCACATGTTTGATTTTATAAGAAGTAGCCAAATTGTTTTCCAGTGTTGTTTTATCATTTTACATTCTTACCAGCAATGTACAAGTGATCAAATTTCTCCATTTTCTTATCAGTACTTGGTATTATCTTTTTTTTTTTTTTGCTTTAACCTTTCTGATAAGCATGTACTGATAGCTCCTTGTGGTTTTAATTTGCATTTTCCTGATGGCTAATGATGTGGAGCATCTTTTCATGTGCTTCTTTGCCATCTGTATACCCTCTTCAACGAAATATCTGTTCATATTTCTTGCCCATTTTCTAATTATATTGTTTGTTTCAGAGAGGAGTATAAAGGATTTCTTGGGTTTTGAGAGTTCTTTAGATATTGTTCCTACTGCTCCTTTGTTGGATATGTGACTTGTAGTCTCTCTTCTAGTGATTGAATTATTTAGTTTTAAGATAAGCACATGGCTGTCTGACTAGAGACTACTTTCTCATGTTTTCTTGCAGCTAGGTGTGGCAATGTGGCAAATTTCAGGCCACTGAACTAAGAGTAGAAATGATACAGGCAAAATCATGAATCATCCAGGAGTCCACATGTTCTAGATGACCATCTTCTTCCCCTTCCTGGAATACAGACCTTGCTGCATCCCAGCTTCTACCATATAGATGAAGACAAGGCAGAGGCAGGTAGGTGCTTTAGGGAAGGTGCCAGTTGTTAAGGGACAAATAGTAAATATTTTATGCCTGTGGTTCATATGATCTCTGAAGAAATTTTTCACCTCTACTGTTGTAGCATGAAAGCAGCCATGACAACATGTAAATAAATGAGCCTGACTATGCTAACATATTATTACAGAGACAGGCAGTCCTTTCATGGGGGTAAAGCTTACTGATCCCTAGGGCAAAGCCACAGGACATCAGGAGCTGGGTCCCTAAATAGTCACTTGGAGTGGAACCATTGAATTATCCTAGATGGCTACCTGCAGATTAAGTCGTGAGGAAGAAACAAACTTCTTTTAAAAGTCAGTTTACTTTAGGGATTCTTTGTTGTGGCAGCCTGGCCTCTGCCTATTTAATAGAGAAACTGGCACTCACTGGGTACATAGTGTGTTCCCTGTGTAAAGATGATTCAAAGATAAATGGCATAGGCTTCTTGCCAGACAGAGCTTTCAGTGTGGTTGAGAGGGGCATCCCAGCACAGTAGAGTGGGGCTGTAACCGAGCTATAAGAAAGTGCTCAGGAAATAGGGATGCGACTGGGAAGAAGGGAAAAATCACTTAGTGCCTAATATGCGACAAGGATTTTATTGTTATATCTCTGAGCTCTGAGAAGTCTATGAAATATGTTATTATACTTGCATTTTAGAAATGAAAAAAAAAGTCTCCAGTCTATGAAAAACTGTTTAACTTACCCAGTTGCATAGATATATTTGAAGCCTTGAAAAGTATCCACTCCAATGATGGGTTTATTCATTGTTGCCCTGCAGAGCCTGACCTAGGATAGAGAACATCATCAGAATTGTTAACTAAGAATTATTAAGCAGCTTCTATCTGGCCAGACCCAAAACTGGGAGCTGGAAAGCTAGAGGAACGAAGGAAAGAATCTGATCTTTAAAACAGCAAAGCTTTGACAAGCTGTCACCCTATCGTTTTGCATTTTGGAGTGGCTAATCTAAAGGACCACTCTGCTCTTGGATATTCTGAGATGAGCCCAGTGTCCATCCTTCCTCATGACTCCTGGAAGATTTGTGATGACTGTCTTATTTACCAGCCACTACACAATTTCAGGTCCCTTTCCTTTTCCTTGAGATATGACTCATGAATGAGTGTTCTCCCTGGCGGAACAGCCTTTGTTGTCTGGTAGCTTTTGTCTTTCACAGTTTTGTTACTGACTCAGTAGACTCGGACCTCATCTCTGAGGCCTCATACTGACTGCCAGGCTTGAGTCCTTTGTGTGCCCTTCCTGACTTCAGTGTTGGGCCCAACTCCCAGTCCTGTGCTCTGGACTCCAAGGTAAGAATTTGACTTTGATTCTTTTTGAGTCCTCACTTGATTTCTGATGTTGGTTTGTGTTGATTTTATGGTCTGATGAATCAGTGTACTCTGCAAACAGATTAATGTAAATGTAATGTAAATAGATGTTTTCTCTGTTGGATGAAAGATGACAAAGAATCTGGTTTGCTAGGATTTTTGACTTATTTGACTGCTTTGAGGTCAAATCAATTAAGAATTTCTACCCACGGAGGAGAAAAATGTCTTTGATATAAACTGGTGAATTCTGTATTTTATGTTTATGCTTGACCCACTGCAAAAATTTTAAATTTGAAGCCATAAGTTTTCTCTGTGTATGTTATGTTTTTGTGTATTTAAAAAAGGCTTTACTTCTCATACATGTGTACTATTTTCCTACTTTTGAATGGTATTATCAAATTAGATTTAAACATCTTTGGAAAGGTGTCTATTATGAATGATTTAAAAGTAAATAAATGCTTATATAAATTTCATATTCCCTGAATTCCTAGAAATTAGGAAATTAAAAGTCAAATAGTTTCAGTGTGGAAAAATATTGATGAATTAACTAGAAAACATTTTGAGAATTCAAGTTCACATAATTTAGGAAAATATTTGACAAGGAAGACTAGTTTAATAATTTGAGGTTAATAGAAAGTTATACTTTATCAGCATTAAGTATAATAGAAACATGCATTTTTATTCTTCTTGGAATGGTCTTTCTCAATTTCTATAGATTCACTGATCAAATAAACTAATGTTATTTCTATTTCATATATAAAATTGTGAAAAACGTTAATTTGTGTTTAACCAAATTGAATGATTAGTCCAAAACATTTATTTCAGTACTAATTATGTTTTGTAGGATCTGAGCTTGAAGATAATTTCTAAGATCTTTAGATGATTTAAACCTTAGACTTCTACTAAATTCAGTGAATTCATGGACATTTATCATTTACAAGTAAGGTAAAGTATTGAAACATTAATAATTAATTATCTTTTTTAGTTTATTTGTTTGCATCTTTTTAAATATGCTGCAGAATGGCTATATATTTTGAGTGTGTTAATGAATGTATTCATTTCTGCCACTGTATTTTTCTTTCTTCATTTTTAGATAGGGTCTATCTTGAATTCACCATATAGCCCAGGCTGGCCTCGGGCCTCAAATTTGCTGCGATTTTCCTGTCTCAGCCTCCCGAGTGCTGGGATTATAGGTGTATACCACCATGTCCAGCTTGTTATTGTATTATAGGGAATGTATATGGTTATAAGAAACTGTAAACTCTGCTAATCTACTGTGTGACTGACAGCTCACAGTTGTCTGCCTTCTATTTTTTTCCTAAGGAATAGGAGTAACTGTGGTTAAAAGATCTCATCAATATAAGTGAATGAACTTCCACTAGGAGCAGTATTCACACAGGCACAGCTTTGTATGTAAAGCAGGTACAATGTGTTTTATTGTTAATGAAAACAGAGCAGTTTGATCTTAAAATGACTTGTTATTAAAGAAAGAAAGAAGAAAGAATAAGAACAAATATGAATGTGTATAAAAACTTGAAGATTTATACATGGGAGATTTTATTTACTGTGGCCAAAGCTAGCTAAGATGTGATGGATTTGCTTATAAGAGTCCTGGAAGAACTTTAATATCAAATATTAAGCTGATATAAAATGAAAATTTGTTCTTTTGTTAAAAATGACAAAATTTTCTTGGATCATTGGTTTCATCTTAATATAAGGTTAATAAAATGATATTCTTTGCCTTTCTGTGTAATCTAATTAGATAGCAAAGACTCGGTCTTAACAAAAATAACCTATGGTTTATGTTGATTTTGTGATAGTCTTGACAACTGAAGAGAAAGGTTTCTTAGGAAAGAAGTAAGATTTTTTATAATCATGTTATCACCTGTTATTTTTATTTTATTTTTTCTATGTTTATTTTCAAATACTTTATTCTCACTTTGAAATGGAAGAAAATATATTGTCTCTCAGGCACTCATGATCCAATTCTTTTTTTAGGTGCTCCAATCTCCTAACAACTTTTGATTTTTGTCTTTCTAAAACTAAACCCTATATACATAAAGAAATAAAGCTAAATCCTAAATGGCCTCTTTTACAACTAAAAGTATATTTGAGATTTCTTAGGGGGACCCTTGAAAACCATGAAAGATTTAGTATTTTGCCATGTAAAAAGAGATGTGCTAGAAATAGTAAGGTTTATTTGGTATGTTACTAGTGATGAACTGCAAAGAATTGTTAAACTAGAACGGTTGCTTAGTTTTCCCTAGGTTAAGTTTGTAGGGGTAACATTCATAATTTCAGAATCATGGCTGGTTGGGATGCCTAGAGATCAATCAATGCTCTTGCTATATGACATTTTTCTATTTATCAGAGTCTTGCTGCTTTGCTTGTTACTAAACCTGTATTAGTCAGTTTTTTGTTACTGTGACAAAATGCCTGAGGTAAACAACTTACAAGGAGGAAAGGTTTATTTTGGCTCACAGTTTAAGAGGTTTTAGTCCATGGTTTACTAGCCCTATTGCTTTTGGCCCCATGGTAGCACAGGACATCATGGCAGGAACACATGGCAGAGCAGGTCTGTTTACTTTATGGCAGCCAGGAAGATGAAAAGGTGAGAGGAAGGGGCCAGGGTCTCAACCTCCCTTTCAAAGGCAGCTTCAGTGATCTGATGACCTCCACTAGGGCTCGCCTCTTAAAGGGGCCAAGCCTTCAACACATGGGCCTTGCAGGGACATTTCAGATCTAAACAACAGTATCGTGTACAGTATAGGTTCACTTATTTTTTTAAAATGTTAATTCTATTGCAGTTTACTTCTTTAAATCTGGCATCTTTTAGGCCAGTGGTTTTCAAGTAGATTTTTTTTTAACCTATGGAGTTTTAGCAACATTACTTTTGTTTTTCCATTTAGTTTATTGGTGCATTTTAGGTATACAATACAGTTACATTCATCATTGGGATCTTGTACCTTTGATGTATCTTTGGGAGTTTTATTTAACATATAGATATTTAGGATCTACTTCTGGCTTATAGATTCTCTTTATTTGGTATTCCTGCTATACTCCTGGTGTTTTCTAACTATATGAAAGGTGTCTTCATGCTATATTATGTTTCAGGATTATAATATATTAAATTTGAAGATTTGTTCTTTTATCTCTCTTTCTTTCTTTCCTTTTGTGGTACTGGGAATTGAACCCAGGGCCTTTATATTTTGGGCTATATCCCCAAACTCCCCACTTTAAAAAGTTTATTATTTTTGAGACAGGATCTTGCTAAATAGCTAAATTGCCCAGGCTAGGCTCTAACTTGCAATCCTTCTGCCTCTGCCTCCAAGAGTGTGAGGATTACAGGCATGCACCGCCATGCCTGGCTTGAAGAATTTTTCTGGTTAAAGATTATGTTCACCCATTTTTATACATCAGATATAATATCCACTTTTCTTTGGAAAGAGGGTTATCGCCATATTCTTAGATATTTTGTTTAAACTTTTTAAGGTTGACTTTTATCTTGTTTTCACAAAACAAATTCCCTTCTTAGTTTTGCTTTTACTTGTGGAAGTCTCATTATATCTTTCATTTTTGAAAATTATGTCAACTCTGTTTTGGCTGGTAGAGACTTAATTGACTCTCTTCTTACTCCCCTGGAAAATATTAGACTGGACCTTGTTACTTTGACCAAATTGTTGATCTATAGCAAATTTCCACCCTTTCAGTTTTCTTCAATATCTGGTTACCTTCCTTGAAACTAACTTTTCCAATTTTTCTGCCTCTTTCTTGACTCAGAATCATGGAGACCTACAACCTGGCTGTTCAGATCCCTGTTATGACTCTCGGTTACTTGCAGCTCGTCCAGTTCCCTGCAATTTGAAGAAGCCTTGCAAGCCAAAGCCTGACAACTTGCTATAAACCTGTAAGGGCTCTCTACTTCAGCAGACCACACATGGGCCCCAACTCTCCTGACACAAGTTGGCCAAAGGAAAGCCAGTGAAATGTCCAGGTCATACCTGAGGTAACCAGAGAAGAGACAACACTGCCATAGCATTTGAGCAGGAGACCTTCAAGAAATCCAAAGAAGCCAAGAATGGTGATACATGTTTGTAATCCCAGCACTCTGGGAGGCTGAGGCAGGAAGACTGTAAGCTTTACTCCAGCCTGGGCAATTTAGCAACTTAGCAACATCCTGTCTCAAAATAAGCAAGCAAGGAAGAAAGAAAGAAAGAAAGAAAGAAAGAAAGAAAGAAAGAAAGAAAGAAAGAAAGAAAGAAAGAAAGAAAAGAACAACAAAAAAGAAACCCAAAGAGCAATGCTTAATCAAAAGAGTTGCCTTTACCAACCTCTTAGAATTCACTGGACTGGATTCATAGCTTTGTACTTAAATCCAACTGTTCATATTAATCCTTTTCTTTTTCATTTTTAGGCACCCCTCTTTCAAGATGTCTGCCCTCCAGAATGCTGAAACAAGTGATCTTTCCTATGACCTCTCAATAGATGTTGCAACACATTTTAGAGAAACAACAGACAAGGGTCTCAAGTAACTGTGTCTTGGGTCCTGCTCCACCTCTGGAGATTTATGAGCGCTCCAGAGTTTTTCAGCAGTGAAGGAAATAGAGACCGACAATGTGGAACCTTTTGTTTCTGAGTATGTGCTCCCTGGCAGTTGCAACAGTTAAGAAATTCTTTGTATTCCTTCATGTTCTCAGAAGAGCCAATCACAAAGAACCACCTTGCCCTTGCCTGTCCTGAAACAGAGCCATGTCTATCCTTCCTCATGACTCCCTTAAGCCTGAAGGATAGCTCCTTTACTTAATTGTACAGTATTATGATTTAGATCTAAAATGTCCTCCAAAGGCCTCGTGTGTTCAGAGATTGGGCTTTGGAAAATAATTGGATAATGGAGTGCCATACTCATCAGTGGATTAATTCATAGCTGAATGTGCTGTTAGGAGGTGAGGCCTGGTTGGAAGAGGTGGGTCAGGGAAGGCCTGACCTGGAAGGATCTGTCGCCCTCCCTGGGTCTTCCTTCCCTTTCTGCTTCATGACATGAGCAGCTTTCCTCTGCCAGACCCTTCCACCATCCCTTTTCTGCCTAGCATAGACTGAAAATGTGACCCAAAGTAAACCTTTCCTCCTTTAAATTGTGGGTGTCTGGTATTTTGTCCCAGCGATGAGAAAGTGGCTAATACAACTTGCTTGTGTAAGACCTCAGATTCCTGTCCTTTTCTCTAGACATTCCTCATTACTAAAATTTCTCTTTATTGCTATAGCCTTAAAAAAAATCATATCCTTAGGGCCGGGGATTTAGCTCAGTGGTTCTGCCGCCTACCTTGTAAGTGCAAGGACCCAAGTTCAATCCCCAGTGCCAAAAAAAAATCATATCCTTTCTTGTCTGGTACATTTTTACTTCCTTACCTTTGTTCCTCTCATTTTCATAGCTGGGTCTCAATTTTCTTTTCCTTTCTGAATCTTAGTTTCCCCCGTATCCAAGGACCATTGCTTCCTCTTCTGAGTGATACCATGATTAAATGGGATAATAATAGGAAAGGCTCAATTTGCCCATACTAAGTCAATTAATATTAGTCCCTCCCTTAGCAGAAAACAATCCTGATGCATAGTGGTGACAATGGGAGCCTGTGAAAATAGGGGTGCAGAAGTGTAACTGTAACTCCAGAAGTTGGAAAACAACTCAAAGTAGGAGCCCTGAAACCTAAGTATTCACACAGAGCAGTTTGTATGGGTAGAAATGATGTCACTGATATATGTTAGAAGTGTCCCTTCCTTCTGAGAAGTAGATTCCTATCTCATTTGGGTTTGCATGTGAGGTAGCAGGGAGCCGGTTACAAAGTAACCCTGAAACTGTCCAAAAGATAACTAACCTTTACAGACCAATGGTGAAGATCATCTCAAATGGTAGCCTCCTCCTACCCTGAGAAGCTGAGTGGGTGCAGGCCCACACGGGGGGGTTACAATAGTAAACCCAGGGAGGTCCTGGCAACTGTCAGGTGAGAGTGCCAGGTGTGTAGGTCGTATTCAGACCCCAGGCCCAGAGAACACAGGTGAAGAGTGAAATTTCTAGTGGTGGAGTGTGAGGTTGTCCGTAATTCTCCAGCTCTTGGTTTAGGGGATCCCTGGCCAACCAGCTGGTAGTGACCGATGGCTGCTAAACACACCTCAAGACTGAAGGAAAGGAGAAGCTGGAGACAACGAACATTACATAGATGTTCACAAGCAAGAGAACAAAGTCACTACTTGATCATTCAACTGGAAACTCAAATTGCCACGGTTAGCATTTATGCAATACAGGTTTTAGATACACAAGTGCAAAGTAATCAGAAAAACATTTGCTCCTGAAAAGTGGTTGCCCATGGTGCTTTACATTAAGCTGTAATCAGCACAAATGTAAAATGAGCAAATTCTCCAAACCCAAAGATTGTAACCCTGGGAAAAAGAACACTGTGTTTAGGGATCTTAACGAAAGTTTTCTACACAATTTGCACCTTCTTGTAACCCACCACTCTCTTCCTTGGTGATGCATAAGTTTTTCATATTTTCAATTTTTTCCTTTCTACCATCACCTTTTTATTTAATTCTTATCCTCATCGGGGCTGAGTTATTCAGTGTGAACATGGTAGGCACAAGTACCGCAGTACTTTCAGGGCCTTGCAAAACTGTTTAATTTCTTCTAAAGTCAGATTTAAAAATAAATGTTAAAATCAAAGACAGTGTTTTAATATACAATATTAATAACTCGTAATTATACCAATGCATAAAATATTAATATTTATTTAATTATTATTTAATATTAATTTGAATATTTTAATTGCAGAAGGAGCCTGAAATCAATATGCCTTGGGCCCATGAAAGGCATAGTGCAGGCCTGACTAGTGGGTCTGTTGGTAAGAACAGAAGTGTTCTCTTCTCAAGACAGCGGTGGGTCCCTGAAGCCATGGATAATAACAGACCCTATACAGTATGTACCATATTGTCCCTGTGTATACATACTTATGATAAAGTTTAACTTATAAATTATATACAGTAAGAGTAGACATCAATAGCTAATCATAGAACAACCATAACAAAACACAGTAATAAAAGTTATGTGAATGTGGTCCCTGTCCTCAAAATACAGTCTTATACTTTGAGCCTTCCACTTAAAGGAAGCTCTTCACAGCTTTTCTTTGGCAAATCTGAATTGCCAAAATCATCATGCTTGTGTTTTAAGGACATTAAGTAAAATAAAGGTTATTTGAAAAGAAGTGCTGCAATATAGTAACGGCTATATTGCTTTGATAACTGAGATGGTTACTAAGTGACTAACGGGTGGGTAGAATATACAGCATGAATCCGCAGCATGATGATGCATGTTTTAGGCAAAACAAGAGATTTCATCGTGCTCTTCAGAATGGCACATAAAACATGAATTGTTTATTTCTGGAATTTTCATTTAATACTTTTTGGATCAAGTTGATCAGGGGTAACAGAAGCCACAGAAGGTGAAGTCACAAATAAGGAAAGACTGGTGTACTCTTAAACCTTTAAAGACATAGAAACTAAAGGGTTGCACTTGTTTTTTTTCCCCACAGTAAAGCCAGAAAAGCCCAAGGTCAAATTTTCAGCCTCTGGACTGGGGACACCTGCCATTTGCGAGCAGCATCCTGCCCTTGTGGACCTCAGAAAGGTTTCCCTGCTGGCTCCAGATGTGGGCTCTTGACACCTGTCTGACTCTGATGCATTTGGAAACAGCACTTTCTGGTGGCAGTGACCACTAGCAACCCTGATTTAGACATGGTAAAAAGAGCACAATGATGACGAACCTGACTATTTTTCAAAGCACAAGTCCAGACAGTCTGAAATAAGATTTCCTCCCCTATTTGTATGTATTTAAATTTTAAATATTTACATTTGTATACATTTTAATATTTTGTATACTGCCAACTTTAAAAATCATTTAGTCATATAATTAAGTGATGACCTTTATAATAGTAAAATATTGTGAAAGTAAATACTCACACTGGCAATTAGAACCTATTATTAATTAGATGTTTGAATCCTGATTACCCAAGTGGCTGACAAGGTGCAGATCCAGAGCCACAGTGGGTGTCAGATTTCTTTCTACGTGAGGGCATTTTCTGAGTCATTTAGGCAAGAACGCCAGATTTGTTACAGAAAGATTTGTTTCCCTCCCCTATATTTCATGAGGAGCACATTTAACAATAATGACCATTTGGGGCTACTATTCTGTGCCACACACTTTTCATATATTCCCATCTGAACATCACAAAATACTGCAAAGTAGACAGTAAAATTCTCATTTTATAGACAAGAAGATTTGAGTACCTTGCCGTGACTTAGAACCAGAAGTGTTGCCTCAAATTCTAACTCTGCTCAGACTGACTAGAAGCAGGTTTGTGTCTCAGATGTAGCTACAAATCACTAGAACATTCTGAACAGACATTCTGAATTCAGAATGGAAGTGAGTTGTCCAGGTAGAAGAGGCTGGGGTCTTGACAGGTGGCTCCCACACTGGCCGGTCACTGAGGGGGTTTCTCAAAGCCCTGTCCTTCACAGATGGCTCCCTTGGGCCCTATCCATCTTTCCTGCAGGCCAAATCCATCCCAGCCCACAAAGTTGGCTCATGCTTGTCTCAAATGCCATTTCCAGGCCTCCTTTAGCCTCTGACTTCACCTTAACCTCCCTCTCTTCCCAGACAGTCTTCCATGAGGACTCCAGTTCGTGCTGGCTTTTCCCTTCTCCAAATCCCCTGTGGAAGTGTGGAAGACTTTATGCTTTGCATTATGCATGGAGGAAAATCAAATTCACCATCTCTCCAGTTTTAGTTCTCAGACTTAGAGATCCAAGCACATAGTGAAGACAGGAATAAACTCTTCATGTGCACCATGCTCTTGTTTTTGACACCTGGTCTGAAATCCGATTCCCAGCAGCAGGAGTTGATGGATATTTATCAGCTGTTGTCTCAGAACACTGAGAAACAACAATGGCTCTCAGAGATTGCTAGTTCCCTCTTTTTATCTCTGGGCTTCGAGGGTGTACAGGAGCTCTTTTTGAAACTATGCTGCAGCCTGGCCAAGGAAGGGTGTGCATTTAGCATAGGCCTGCTGGTGTCAGACCTTCTAGATACTCTTCCAGCAGAGCCTAAATCTGTGGACACCTGTCAGCCATTGAATATTGTCTTAGTTACTCTTCTCATTGCTGAGACAAAATACCCGACACCCAAAGTTATAGGAGGGAAGGTTTAATTAGTTCACAGTTTGTAGCGGTTTTAGTCCATGATCAGTTGGCTCCATGGCAGAGTGGCAACAGTTCATGGTGGCAGAAGACAGCAAAAGCAACAACGGAATTTTTTTTTTGGTACTGGGGATCAAACTTGGGTCCTTGCGCTTGTGCAGCAGGTGGCGAATTCACTAAGCTAAATCCCCAGCCATCAAGGGAATTTTAACAGCATCTTTCTGCCCCTTTTTTTCTTATTCAGACTACTGGGACAGGGCAGTGTCCAACCAATCAGTGGACTGGTTTAGTAATCACACACCGTTAATCCCAGCATCACACACTAGATTCAGCCACCTCTGAAAAAGCCACCTATGACCACATGAGGCTTTGAGAGGACATCTAGGCCCAAACCATAGCAAATATCTACATGTTACACTTGGGATCTGAATGTCTCCCCAAGGCTCATGAGTCGAAGCCTAGTCCCTTCGCTGGTGACACTGTTGGGAGGTGGCAGAAACTTTGAGTCCCTGGAGACAGCCCTTGTAGGGTAGATCTCCTTCCCAGACTCTTCGCTGTCTCTTCCTGCTTCCAGGCTGCTGTGAGGTGAGCAGTTTTCTTCCACTCCTTCCTTCTGTCATGATGTTTCTACCTAGTCACAAGCCTAAACGCAAAGGAGGCAGCTGACCATTGACTGAAACTTCTGAGACCATGAGCCAACATAGACCTTTCCTCCTTTAATCAGCTCTTCTCAGGTATTATGCCACAGTGACAAAAAGCTAACACATGACGTCAATTAAAAATCAAGTGCAAGCTGTGGTGGTGCACACCTGTAATCCCAGCTCTGCGAGAGGTTAAAGTAAGACGATTGCATGTTCAGGTCCTGCCTGGGAAACTTAGGGAGATCCTGTCTCAAAATAAAAATTAGAAGGGATAGAGATATAGCTCAGTGTTAGAGTGCCCCTGGATTCAACTCCCTGCACTGAAAAAGAATCAAGTACAACTCAAATCTCTGGTTCTATGCATGCATGCTGTTTGTATCTTACAAATTAAACTGTAAGTCCTAGCAGGTACAGAAGAGCCTTCCATTTACTTGTTGCCATGGGCCTTTACTATTTCACTTACTGGTATTCAATATGTATTTTATTTAATGGGTGAAAGGTTGACTGATTTTTATATTTTCTGCAACCTAAACCCAGGAGTATGGCTTCTCTTCCATCTGAGGAGCAGACAGAGACAAAGTGGTTTGCCTCAGACACTCCTAGCTGATGTAATTCTTCTGTTTCAGGAGGGTGTGGCTCGAGGCATGCTCTGGAGCAACCTTGAACTTCCTTCTCCTGTGCCTGCATCTCTCTGCACTGTGGTCCTTACCTCTGCTCTCTTTATTGGAGCTGAGGGCAGCTTGTAAGAAAAACAATGGTTAACATTCCTGAGAATTTATATATACTTCCTTTGGGTGCTGATAATGTGAGAAGAAAAGCAGAGAACATTTTAAGAAATGTTCTCAATGTTCCCACCTGTTCCCAGCCAAGCTATTTTCATAAGCTTTCAGCCTCCTTCATCTGATCAGTAATGAGTTCATTAAGATTGGCTGATCTCCTGTTCAGGCCTGCAGAAGTCTCTGCTACTTCACACTAATTTCTGTTCCCTGGAGCCTTCAACAAGCTTAGGGTACCTAGAAAATTAGATTCCAGGAGACAAAGGGGCTTGGAATCAACAAAACCCAAATAAATGATGTTTCCTGTCCTAGAGAAAGGATGTTGCCTTGGTCCTTGTGTGTGAGCCACTTCCTTCAGTCTGCTTCAGAGGGAAGATGAGGGCTAGGGTGGGCTCCCCTTTCAATGGTGGGCAGCGTGCTGTTCAGGCTCTGAAGAAACAGGGTTGGTGATTGGTCTGGAACAGGTCCTCAGATCTCCCATTTCCCCCACATTCCCTCCTGAGCTTCCAGAACACGTCTCCAATAGGTTCTCCCCACCTTCTTTTAGACATGTGGGGATTTAACCCATAGGTTTTACACTGATTGAGCTGCATGGCAGAGGTTTTTGTTTTATTTTGTTTTTTTGATACAGGGTATCACTAAGTTGCTGAGTTGCCCAGGCTGGACTTGATGAACTTGCAGTACTCCTGCCTCAGCCTTCTATAACCTTGGCTGGGATCATAGGTGCACACTTCCATACCCAGCTCCTTAGATTCTGATGTCAATAAATGACGCACCAGAGTCAGAAACGATGGGGCTTAAACTGAAGACCTACAGAGCTGATCTGTTGGCACGTCCCAACGCTTTATAGAAAAGGGTTTTAAATCCTCAAGAATCAAAGGGATCTTAAATCATGGTAGTAGGGGAGGGAGAATCAGGAGCAAATAATCCTAAACCATTTTGCTTAGAACTCAAATCCATAGTCAGCTGTTGTAATTTTCTCTCTTTTAAACCTATGGCCACTTATTTTTCAGTAAATAATATATGAGCACAGTACAAAAATGAAAATGTCCCAAAAGGCTGATGGTGAATGGGAAGGCCACGCCCCATCCTCACATTCACACTGTAGCTTTCTTCTCTGAAGGAGGTTGCTATTATTGGGTCCCTGTGTATCCTGCCAGGCGTCTTCCCTGCATCTGCAAAAACAAGGGTATATGCTGCTTATTCTTGAAAAATAAGAATGTTGGCATTTGTACACTGGTATTTTTCACTTGATAATATATACTTCCTTGGAGATGAGTCCATGTTTATTCAAATTAAGATGTTTTATGGTTTTTAAAAATAGTTACATAGTATTCAATTATAAGAATATATCATCATTTCTTTAAAAATGTTCCCTATTGATAATCCAGATGGCTTTTATAAGCAATACTTCTGTGAGTAGCTGCATACCTGTCATTCACACATGTGCTGCCCATAAAAATGGATAAAGGTCTAAATGTAGAATAGCTGAGCCCAAGGAAATATGCCCTTATAATTTTAATAGACACTGCCACATTACATTCAGTGGAGCCTTACCATGCACACCCATGTTTATAACAGCAGTGTGCAGGAGTGTATACTTCTCCACATCACTGCCAATGCTGTAGGTCTCCAGCATTCAGGTCTTATTATCTAATTGGTAAAAAAGAGCAGCTTACCATCCCTTTAGTCTAATTTTAATTTTATTGTAGTTTTCATCTTCATTTCTTTGGGATTTTCTTTTTAATTGGGAAAGATCTTTCTATATTATTCACCTTTGTGATTTGAGTTTATGACTTCCTTAGAATTATTACTTTTCTGCAAAAATGATTTTCTCTTTAATTTTATTAGTTTTTTCTTCTAGTTTTATTATTGTGTTTTAAATGATTAATTTCTGTTTGTATCTATGTCTTCTTCGCTGTGTTTTAAAAATAGTTTTTAGTTATGATTTCACTTTTCCTCTTTGAACTGTTACATAAAGAAAAGGCTTTCTAATTTTTCTAATATTGCTAATTATTTCTAGTTTTACTGCATTATAATCAGAGAATGTTGATAATACTCTAGCAACATATTTTGGAATATGTTGACTTTTGGGGGCCTAATAAATGGTCAATATTCATAAATATTTCTAGGGTTCTTGAAAATTGTAATCTCAGTTTTCAGGGAGTATATTATACATATTATAGAATTATGTATTTTATATGACTAAATATATATT